ACAAACACTAGCACATGTCGACATGTTCGTGATAGAACCGGTTCGCTCGTGGCCCTACTAGTGGGGATTATACACTAGCACTCGTGGCCCTACTAATGGGGATTATACACTAGTACTCGTGTGCCTGCCAGTGGGAGGTTTATAACATTGGCCATGACTAATAGAGGAGACCACTACGTGATTTTACTTGCATTAATGATTTGTTATTGAAATGCTCTGTTCATGTTTCAACCGATTATTTGGCATGCTTTAAACTTTGAAGTCGGGCCCCCATGTTTACTTACTGAGATATTTCTATCTCATAGTTTCCTTGTCCACCATTTCAGGTAGTGAGACCCGACGTGTGGGAAGCCCAGGGGAGTGACGAGCTAGACGGCTAGGCACTTTTGGACTTAGGTTTTTGTAGCTAAGTCATTAGTCACCCATGCTTGACATAGAAAATTTTGTGTACGGAATTTAGTGTTAGTCATGATTGTATAGGCAAAATACCCAAATCCACCCTCAAAGTATAATGGCAGGGACGGATTCACTCTCGAACAAAAAACGGGGACAAATCCACCCACAAAGTTTTCGACTTGGACAAATCACTCCAAATTTAACGTGTGACGTCATTTGACATCAGTAATTCGTTAATTCGTTAACGGATTGCTGACGTCAGATGACGTCAAATTAATAGATTGCTGATGTCAAATGACGTCATACGTTAAATTTGTGGTGATTTGTCCAAATCGAAAACTTTGTGGGTGGATTTGTCCCCCTTTTTTGTTCGAGGGTGGATCCGTCCCTGCCACTATACTTTGGGGGTGGATTTGGGTATTCTGCCTGATTGTATATATGAAGTGATAAATTTTGTACATTCGACTGGTAACTATTTGGTAAATTAAAAGGCTTAAATCTGAATTGCTAAGTAAGGACTCAGTAGGTCTCGAGCCTTGTGCATATGTGGGTCCCGCTCACGAGTGCACGACGTCTGTTTCGCTCTCGGTTTGGGGCGTGACAGATTTTGTGGTATCAGAGCCTAGGTTAATTTAAAAGCCTAGGATTAGTCTAGAACTTGGCTAGCAATGAATGATAGGAACGTGGTGAGGTATGAGAGTGGGGTTGATTAAAGGCGCTTGTTTAATTCCTTCCTTAATATGGGTTGGTTTCTTTTGTTTTGATACTTTTGTGCTGCTTAGTCCCGGAAGTGGAAACTTGCCGGGAAATTTCTCGTTGGAGCAATTGATTAATAGTCTATAAACCATCAACGGCCCAACGTGCTCATCCAGCTCAGCTTACTTGCCACGTTTGTGGGAAGGTTGGGCACACCCGAGATCAATGCCACACTGTTCTTGGGGTTTGCTTCAAATGTGGCAAGCAGGGACACCGGATTGCAAATTGTCCACTGCTAGACCCCAAAGCCCAGAGTACTCAGCCTACCTCTCCGCAGAGTTCTACCAGTCAGGGGGCGCAGAAACAGAGTACCAGGGTTCGGACGAGAGCCCAGCAGGCGAGAGTACAAGTGATGACTCATAAGGAAGCTGCGGCCACCGACGTAATCACGGGTACCTTGCCTGTTAACTCTGATTATGCGCATGTTTTATTTGATTCGGGTGCGTCGCACTCTTTTATTACTCGATCTTATGTTTTGAAACGAGCCTTGCCTGTTGATACCTCTGATTGTGAACTGCATGTGGACACCCCTTTAGGAGGGATGATGACTACTAGGGAGATGTGTAGGACTGTAGATATTTATATTGATGGTAGACAGCTGAGTGCTAGTCTGTTTGTGTTAGATATCTCCGATTTTGATATCATTTTGGGGATGGATTGGCTGTCAAAACACTTTGCCTCTATAGACTGTCATCGGAAATGGGTAATTTTTAATATTCTTGATGAGCCAGAATTTAGTTTTCAAGGCAGTGGTTCTTTTGCTCTACCCGTGTTAGTATCTGACTTGCAAGCTCAGAAATATCTTGTAAATGGTTGCCAAGGTTTCCTAGTCTCCGTTACTGATGCTAGTAGTGTGACATCGAGACTAGAAGACATACCGGTGGTGCGTGAGTTTTCGGATGTATTTCAGGAGGATTTCCCAGGTTTACCTCCGGATAGAGAGGTTGAATTTGCCATTGACCTTGTTCTTGGCATCGGACCCGTTTCCAAAGCACCATACCGTATGGCTCCTGCAGAATTGAAGGAGTTAAAGGTCCAGCTGGAGGAACTCCTTGAGAAAGGGTTTACACGCCCTAGTGTATCACCTTGGGGAGCTCCAGTGTTGTTTGTCAAGAAGAAGGATGGGAGCATGAGGCTATGCATTGATTACCGGGAATTGAATAAGGTGACTGTGAAGAACCGGTATCCCCTTCCTAGAATTGATGACTTGTTTGACCAGCTCAAGGGTGCCCAGGTATTTTCCAAGATTGATCTTCGATCTGGCTACCACCAGTTGAAGATTAAATCGGATGATGTGCCAAAGACTGCCTTTCGCACCCGTTATGGTCATTATGAGTTCATAGTCATGCCATTTGGCTTGACGAATGCCCCTTCCAGATTTATGGATTTGATGAATCGAGTGTTTAGCAAGTACCTAGACCAGTTTGTGGTTGTCTTTATTGCGACATTTTGGTCTACTCTTCTAGCTATGCTCTTCATGAGAAGCACTTGAGGACAGTCCTCGAGACGTTGAGAAGGGAGAGGCTGTTTGCTAAATTCAAGAAGTGTGAATTTTGGCTAGACAATGTTGCATTCCTAGGTCACGTGGTGACTAAGGATGGAATCTCTGTTGACCCCCAGAAAATTGAGGCCGTGGTTGATTGGAAAAGGCTGAATAGTGTTGTAGAAATCCGTAGATTTCTGGGATTGGCTGGTTATTACCGCCGATTTGTGGGGGATTTCTCTAGAATTTCTCTGCCCATGACTCGTCTTATCAGAAAGGACACCAAGTTTGAGTGGACCCCAGAGTGTGAGAAGAGCTTTTTGACCTTGAAGGAGAAGTTGATCACTGCTCCTGTACTTGCACTTCCAATTAATGGGGAAAAATTCACTATATATAATGATGCCTCTAAAAAGGGTTTGGGATGTGTCTTGATGCAAAAAGATAGGGTTATTGCATATGCTTCTCGGCAGTTAAAGCCTTATGAAGAAAATTACCCTACCCATGATCTGGAGTTGGCAGTCGTGGTATTTGCACTCAAGATCTGGAGGCATTATCTGTATGGTGAGACTTGTGAAATCTCCACTGATCACAAGAGCCTTAAGTATATTTTCACTCAAAAGGAGCTTAATATGAGGCAGAGGCGATGGCTTGAACTTTTAAAGGACTACAACTTGACCATTAGCTACCATCCGGGCAAGGCTAACAAGGTAGCAGATGCGTTGAGCAGGAAGTCCTCTGGCACAGCCTCTAGCATCCTTGCCACTCAGAAGGAGTTACTTGAGGATCTTGTGAAA